CAGGGCTCATTTTATTACCTGATTCTTCTCCACGAATAAAGTATTTCTTTCTTTCTGCTGAATCCACGAATAAAGTATTTAGTTCTTCTCCACGAATAAAGTATTTAGTTCTCTCCACGAATAAAGTATTTAGTTCTTTCTGCTGATTTGAAAATCTAAAAGAACTTTGAACTGGTAATGCCCAACCTTACAATAGAAAAATGTTCATGAAATGTGGTTTGTCTTTTACGGAAGCACTGTTAGAGGATGAAGAAATTGACATATTTAGTTGTGAAGTAATTTTCATCTTATGAACAAACGAGTTGCGAACTTTATCCAATGATGTTAATGATTTCGGAACTGTATGAAGACCAGATAGCATGTGTTCTTCTAACTCAGCATCGCTTTCAAATGATAAAGTACAATTCATTTCAGTGCAAAATCTTAATGAATATAATTGCCTGTCACTTCTTTTCTGTTTTTCCTTAAGTGACTTGTTACGCCTAATTGAATTATCTGTTTTGCTATATGGCAACAACAACTTAATCGAGGGTTGAATTTTAAGATTTCCATACTCTTGTTCAATTCCCTCACCGATATTGAAATAACGTCACATCTTCATACTTTTCTCACCAAACTCAAATGAGTGATAGTTGCAAATGTTCTTAATCTTTGGTCTAGTAACTACAGTTTTATCATTGCTAATTTGAGCAACTGCTACTTTTGCATCTTTAGCGCCAAAACTTTAATGCATAGCCTTGTGTATATCTTCAGCAGTCAAAAGATTATTACCAGAGTCAACGTAACTCCTTAAAATTGTCTTTACAACTGCACTCTCCCTGTCACATTGACCTTTTCCACAACAGGGTTCATTATAATCATATCTCAGCAACTTTATATCTCTCTCTTTGCATACATTGTAGATTGCTTCAGCTGAAAGATTTCCTTGATAGCAGCCGGCATTATCAGATTTGGTAAACATTTTCTTGATATGCGGTTGATCAATTCTGAATTGGTCTAAAACTGCAGTGGCTAACGAAACAACATCACCTATTCCCTGATCACACCTATACATTGAAGTAAAGTAAACACGTTTGAATAACTTTCCTGCTATTTTTATGAAGAATATATCCACATGTAAACTTATTCTTTTCTTGCCAAAATACTCTCTTTGGCCCTCTCTGTATCGAACCGGAAGAATTTTTGACAAAAATCTTTAAGTTAGAAAGCAGTTTCATCGTTTAATTGCTTAAAAGCATCGATTTTTGCCTTTTTCTGTTGAGAATCTCTCATCAGGTGTTTTATGTAGTTGAATACATCCTTTACAGCAATTTCCAAATCATAAATAGAATCAGCATCGTCAGAATTTTGAATTGTTAGTTCTTTAATCATCTCGATAGCTTTGCACAAATCATAGTAATCGGCACATACCACTTCTGATGTCTCTGTGTTGGATTGAAGATTTTTTTCAGATGGATCTGATAAGGCATGTTTTGAGCTATGAGAAGAAATGTTTGAGTCATTGACACTACAATTGGTTTGATAGCTTGTTTTCAAATACCTTTTTCCTTTTTCAAGGGCAGTTTCGAGAGATTTAGAACTAAATCTTTGTGCCAATTTTTGTAATGTTTGAAAACCATTCATGCCTGAAGCAGTAACATCATCCAATCCAGCTAAGCTTTTTCGACTTGAAGGTTTTATTGCATGCAATACTTTCCACAAACTTGAATCAGATAATGGTATATAATTGTTTTCACTACAACTTTTTCGATAGAACATGATAGCGTGGCTATATTTTGTCGTCAGTATTGCATGCACTATCTTTTGTTCTTCACCGCTGTCGTATTTTAATTTGGTTATTCCATAAGCAACATCATGCAAAATATCGCTTGTAAATATAAAGTCTAAGAAATGTTCACACTTTGTTTGATCAAGACTAGATCGGACGAATACTTTCTTCTCTGGAAATGCCAACCCTTTATAAGATGCATGCCATTTTCTTGCTGTTTCTATACGATGTTTGGTACACTCAAATGTGTTCATTATAAACTTTTTGGTATACTTGGTATGGTCTAATAATTAGAGGATAACTAACTTTCCCATTAATCACTTTGCTTATATACTTTCTGAGCACGAATAATTTCAATTGGGAGAGGGCTATTTATTTCATCAACATTTTTACTGTTAAGAAAATCTATAAGTATTTCCTCTTGTCCAGGAGCAACAGCTTCCGCAAATTTTTTCTTTAATAAGTTTTCTAGGCGAACATACTTGCGTTTTAACTTATCTTTAGTAGTATCTTCCAGATATTCGAACTTCCTTTTTAATCTAAATTTTATTGGACTTGCATTAAAAACCTCAGTTACACTCTCACGGCTTCTTAGAGATTCGTCCAAAATCTCCTGTGAAACATTAATTTTACCGGGATCAAATTCTTCATCTGGAGTAGCAGGTGTCATATATGTTTGTTCTTGTTGTGTTTGTGTTTCTGTACATAAATTGGTGTTTTCGTTGACTCTAGATAAATCAGTTTCTTTCTTTAAATGGGTAAAACACAACATTGCACTAACTGAAAATACTTCATTGTATTGCTTTGACATTGATATGACGACATGTATTGGTGACGCCCTTAAAGCGGGAGATTTTTTTCCTTTTATATTTAGATGGTGAGGATGAAAGCATGTTTTTGGAGGACTCCATGCAATACCAAACGTGTACCGGTGAAAAGCACATATTTGTTCATCTTTTTCAAGATTTCTTTTAAGTCTATTTGCAATAAGTCCATTTTTTTCCCAAATATTATTATCGTTTAATCGCATGACCTAAAAACAATTTTTTAAGCAATTATTAAGTGTGTCATTTAAAGCATTGTTTATAATCTGACTCTTCAAGAAAAATGTTTACAAGTTTGAAATACATTGTTGTTATTATTAAAATACAATATTGCAAGAGTGTGATTAATTTAGTGATTATTTATTAAAAGAGTGAGGAATTAATTATAAGAGCTATTTTTTTTGTTTAAAGAACTTTGTCTCAAAATCTTATTGCAGAGAAGTTATAAAGTATGTAATTATAAAAATTATATTACAGTCTGCGTAAATTTAAAATACATAATTACCTTTAAGTTGATGAGGTGTTTCTTAATATCAACATCTCCCAGCTGATGAATGTAGAACATTTTGTTTATAATTTTATGTTTTTTGAATGATCCACAATTTCCTTTTGAAAAACAACAACAGTTTTCATAAAAATATTTGTTTTGTTCCATACTCAACTAAAAACAAGTTCTATTTATGCAGTACCTATTTCTCAATAGCAATAATAAAATATCTACTCTATTTATGCAAATTTTAAAGATCGTTAAAATAAAGTTAAGACATTTTTATGGTAAAGTAAACAACCGCCCACTAACTTCTTTCTCCACAATCGTGATATCAGCGATTCTTCTTCCATTCGATCACCACAAGTTATTTGGTTATGACGTAAATTTAAATAATTCACTTCTGATCATGTATTGTTTTTTATTATTATTTATTTCAATTGTTATGATTTCTATATCATAGTCAGAAACGCTTAAATTTTTTCTTAACATTACGTGCAATGTTTTGTGTAATGCTAATTGCTAATTTTGGATGATAGAAATTTTATTGTGAGCGAAAACCTCATCTGTGTGTCCAAAAAAATATCTCTTCGTACTTAAAATTTTTTAACAATTTGTACCTTTATTTTTAACTTAATATCTAAAGATCACATGAGTTTTTTTTTAAACTATGTTAGAGTCATCTTATATTGACCATTTAACATGATTATATTTTTACAAAACTTAGCGCCTCTGCCGTAATAGCTCATTTTGTAAGTATACTATAACATTTTTTTTTAATTTCAAGCCTTAATATATTAATAGGCCTTAGGTATCACATAACTTTCTTTGCATTTTTAGACTCAATACCTTTGATAATTTCAAATCCTAAAAAAAAAATTGTGTGCAACACTTCGCCGCTAGAATTACCTCCGATTAAAAATTGACAAAACTGATTGATTTTGTACTTTTGAACTATGATAATTAGCCAACCGCACAGTGTCACGCAACTTTTTTATATTTTTTAGAGAGAGCTTTTGTGTTACGTCTGATATTAGCTACAAAAGCTATGTGCAACTTTTTGTCTTGCCAAAAAATGGGTTTGCCAAAAAAATGGGTAAAAAAGGTGGCAAAAACTAAATTTCTAAAAATTTTAAAAAAAATCTCAAAAATTTAAGCCCAGATTCCGAGTGAACGAAACATTTTTGAAATTTTTTTTTTCCCTAACAGGTTTTCTCTATATTCTGATCAATATATAAAAAATTCAAGCAATTTGGAGCAGGTCACTTCCATTGACTGCCTGATTCTTACAAAAAATGACTCTTAAATCATCGCTCTCAAGTAAGCTTTATATGATGTAATTCAATTGTAAAACATATTGAACTTGTACTTTTTAAATAAATAAGAGTAATAAATAAACTAGCAAATGTAGAATTAAACAGAAAGTCCGTCTAAATCTATATATTTATACGTTAAATGAAAAAAAGAAAAATGTTAGGCAAAGCCAGTTATTGTTATTGCGCGTATGATGTGAAGTTATTGTTATTGCGCGTAAGAGCTATCAAAATATTGTTTGCAGTGAATGTTAAGTCAACGTTTGCTATTTGTTATTTAAACGTTCGTATCAAAAGTTCAAGAACTGTAAACAGGCATTCACAGATGCCTGTGATTGGTTTACGTAATGTTTGCAGCGAACGTTTGTGAACCTAAACGAACGTTATGGCAATGTTTCTTGAACGTTAATAGTTAGCAATATAAATTCAATGCGGGATAAATCTTGACGATAGTCAATATGTCAAACTAAAGACAAGTTCTATTTTGCACGAGAGTAATAAAGTAAAAAAATAATTTTAAATTTAAAAAAAAAGTTAAATTCAAGTTTTTATTAAATTTTTTATTATGGAGTAAAATCTACAATAAAAAAATATTTAAAACTGCCAAAAATATCAGGCTATAATATATCATTTTGAAATGTTTAATAAAAACTAACTGTTTAGAATCATTTTTTGCAATTTATCTAAATGGTCAACCATTTAGTCTATTTTGAAAATTCATCAGGTATACATTGAATTATTAACATACCGTCATTAATAATTTTTGTAAAGATTTTAAATTTCTGCACACCAACTGGTAAGACATAGGCTCTCCTAATTTGATACAAACTATATCCGTATTCTGTTTTTAAATTTTTTTTTGCGGTAATAATAAGTTTGCCTTGGTGAAAAGAAACAAATACATCATTAAGAGAAAAACCTCGAACATCTAAGGCGATTGTAACCTTTTTATCGTTAATGTTGCAGTATATCTCTTTAAATATATGTTGACAAAAATTGGATTTGCGACACTTCTTTTCATCTGATCTTTGTTGGTTTAGTAAAGTTGAATTCTTTTCTACTTTTTGGTCACATTCTAATGCCGTGAACCGAGATGAAATTGGTCTATAAAAAATAAATATTATTTTGTTTTTGATAATTATTTAAAAGCCTAATATATAACCAATAACAAAAATCTAGTTTATCATAAAAACTAATTTTAAAGGATCTGGTAATTGTCTTAAAAAAATAAAATATGGTTGGCTGATTAAATTAAAATTTAGTAAACGTATGCAAAAAACTATTAGCAAACTTGGTATAACGTTTACAAAAATTTTATTATATTGAATAAAAATTTTTATTAGCTTAAAAAACAAATTGAGAAAATAATTCAATTTAGCATAAATAAATTTATTAATTAGTGCTTGTTAATATTTTTTGTATAACAAATTAAACACGTACATAAGTATATATATATATATATACTTAAGTATATATATATATATATATATATATATATATATATATATATATATATATATATATATATATATATATATATATATATATATATATATATATATATATATATATATATATATACATAAGGGAGAGGTCCAAAGATAGCAGAGGAAAAGATAGGGAGAGGTCCAAAATAGCAGAGGAAAAGCCCAAAAAAATATATGCTTTTCCCTAAAAGTTATAGTTTAATAATTGGAGAGGGGTCTAGACCACCCTGCCCCCCCCCCCCGCCGATGGTTAAGGCTCTGTATATATATACATTTATATATACAGTTGAATCCCGTTAACTCGGACCTTGGATAAGTCGGACTTTTACTAAATCGGACGGAAATTCAATTCCCCTTGAACATTCATTATCAACTTACTGTAAAATCATTCGCTTAAGTCGTACCCTGGTTAAGTCGGACGATTCGCTACATCTACTGTTTTTGAGGTCCCTTCGGAGATCTTTTGATTCAGTTAAACTTCGATTAAATTCTATTTGTTAGTAACTATTACATTAAAAACTCAAAAATATCAATTACAATTCAAAACTTAGAAAGGTTCGAAAATTACTTTTGTATCAAGCATAATTTAACGAACTAATCATTTTCACAAGTATCTTTGATTCGGTTATACTTTAATCAAATTTTATTTACTAAAATTGACGAAAGTTGCTCAAAGTAAGCTAGCAAGTAGAACTATAACCGAAAAATACAAAATACTAAAAGAACTCGATAAAAGAGAACCATCTGTAACTATATCAAAGAAATATGGCATTCTATAGCAAACATTGTCTCAATGGTCAAATAAAAAAACACAATATATTCAGATGTTGAAAAAATAAAAAAACTTATTCGAAAAGAGTCCGGATACGTGTCTCCCTAAAGAAGGATTTGGATAAAGCATGAAAAATAAATTTGGATAAAGCATGAAACGTCGGATGAAACGGTGACAAAGCCAACGACTGAAGAAGTTCGTAATGCAATTGATAGTGGTGAAATTAAAACATATGGCCTGAATGCTTCAAAGCTGTTTGAAAAAGATTGGTGCGAGTCACTGAAACAAACATCAATTTTGGACTTTTTTTGTTTATAGTATATATTATATATACAAAAATATAATATATATTTCACATAAGAATATTTCACATAAGCAACCGTGGCGCAGTGGTTAGAGTGGTTAGAGTGAACTTCCTGTTGAATGCTCTCCCGCGGTGCTCTATGACAAGACCGTAAGGACTTCTGGGAGAACTTAAATATATACAAATATATATATATATATATATATATATATATATATATATATATATATATATATATATATACATATATTGTTCTATATATATGTATCTCATAATATTATATATTTAAGTCTCGAAATCTCAATAAGTCGGACATTTTCAAAAAGTCCGACTTAACGAGAGCTTTGCTTAATTCGGACATTCGCTAAGTCGGATAATAAATATATAATCCTTCGGAGTCCGAGTTAACGGGATTCTACTGTAGTTTATTTATTTCTTATTGTTTATATACTTTTATTGTTTATAAATAAATTAAGTCACACAGTGCTATATCCGTCGGTAAGTAGTTTATTAATCTAGTTAAACAGGCACATACCAATTTTTAAATAAGATTTTTAATTGTAGTTTTAGAAAACCAAATGTATTTTGTAATTGTAAATGTAATTTGTATTTATTGTAACTTGACATATATTGAAAAGTTCAAGTAAAAGAAAAAATTCGAAAGAAAATTTCTTGTTTGGAAACAAAGCCTTTTACAGATTTTTTTTTTGTTGTCCTCAAGGCCGAGAAGGCCACTACAGACGAGGAGGCTACTTTATAGTGGTTATAACCCTCTCTCAACTCTATAACCCCGAAACACGAACCTTGACAAACAAGGCCGCTGCGCGGAGAAACAAGTTGAGTGCGGTACTACTAGGGACGTGGTGGGGATCGAACTCGGAACCTCTTGCTTATGAAGCGAGTATTTTACCACTACACCACTACCGCGTTGATCTAAATTAAAACTGATATATTCATGTATATAATATAAGAAATTGTCTCTTTGAAAATCAATGAATGTACAACTTCTCTTTTGAAAAAGAACGGGAAAGGAAAGGGAAAATAATCATGTGGGCTTGCGTTGTATAAGTTTTAATTTGTTCGAATGAAAACTACGCATTCTCACATGACTATTTTTCCCTTCCATATCCCGTTCCAGTTGAAAAACGGATGAGTGTAATTTCACCTTTAATTATGCAAAATTAAAGTACAAAATAAAATTACATATACAATAACAACAAAACTAATGAAAATATATAAATATATATATCTATTACAAACTTATTAACCTTGATATTTTTTGAACATGTTGATTTGTATGTATAAGGTGCTGAACCATTCCATTTTGTTTAAATTGCTTGGCTTCTCTATTTATTTGGTTTGACCACGTTGCAGCTTTATTAGATTTATTTTCAACATTTTTACTTTTTGATAGAACGGCTTTGATTATATGTTTTGTTTTCTTTGTTTGCTCAGTACCATCTGCAAAAGGTTTTAAAACCAAGTTTACATCACTAAATCTAACTCTTTTAGTGTTAAAAGAATTCTTCTTTTGAGAAGTATTTTTGACTTTAAGTTGATCTGTATTGACAATGGGATTTTTACCACATTTCTGAAGGTTTAAAAAAGTCGCGTTAGTAGGAGGATTCGAGTTCTTTTTCATATGTTTAACCAATGCGGTTCGACGTCGAACTTTTCTACTCGTGATACGTTGTTTCATTTTCGCTTTAGAATTGGATAATGTATTGTTCTTGCTTGTAGTCATAAAAACAGCTTCATTGTTATAAACAATATTTAAATACTTTTCGTCAGATTCTGTATTACCGAATAGTTTATTGTCTTTAGACACATCTTTAAACTTTTTTTTAAACAACGCCATATTTAAATCTAATAAAACAAAATCATGTATCAGTAATAAATATTTTGGTAGTATATTATGTATTATTATAAACAATTTCAATTAGATGACGTTTCAATTTTAAAACAACTACAAGTCTAGACTTAATCGTTTCCTAAAAAACTTTGTTTAATTAATTAATAACTAAATATTTTATATTCCTAAAAAAGCGCTGTTTTATTCGTAATTTGTGCAAAGCTGTACATATAATACAAATTATATGAGTTTCTATAAAAAAAAACATAAAGCTAATAATGCGTAAATTTTGGGATTTTTGTATTTGCAAAGTGGATAAAATATTACTATATATTGAAGTACCTTAATTATATTTGATTGGGTTGGCTAAAAAAACAAAATTTGTCACGTTGTAGGGTAGAGCGAAGCTTGTTGAACAGTTTTTACTAAATCTAACAAATCTCATTAAAAAGGTGCGTCCAATTTAGATTTTTATTTCTTTACTGAAGAGATAATTTAACCTGCTAAAAATTGGTTAAGAAAAAAGTATGTATTTTTTTATTTGTTTCAGAAGATATTGCCTAAAGTTTACAAAGCTGCTCAACCTGCTCCAACCGGGTAAGTTGAGCAACTATGTTGGGTAAGGGTAAGTTGAGCAATCAGCGAATACATTTTGACTCATGTAATTTGAATCTTTAAGTTCTCAAAATATGTTCGAATTACAAAAGCTTTTGAATTATAGGAATTTAAATCTAAATGTTAAATACTAAACGAAGAGTTAAAGATTTAAATATCCTTTCTAAACACTTAAGGGACCGAAGAACTTGTTTGATTGAAATGACCTTTCTAAACACTACAGGGACCGAAGAATTTGTTCGATTTAAATGACCTTTCTAAACACTAAAGGGACCGAAGAACTTGTTCGATTTAAATGACCTTTCTAAACACTACAGGGACCGAAGAAATTGTTCGATTTAAATGGCCTTTCTAAACACTAAAGGGACCGAAGAACTTGTTCAATTTAAATGACCTTTTTAAACATTAGTGGAACCGAGGAAATTGTTCGATTTAATTGGCCTTTCTAAACACTAAAGGGACCAAAGAATTTGTTCGATTGAAATGACCTTTATAAACACTATAGGGAATAAAGAATTTGTTCGATTGAAATGACCTTTGCAATTATAGGAATTCAAATACAAGAGTTCAACTAGATGAATATGCCTTATATGAAACTTAGATAAATCATCAATAAAACAACTTTAACAAAAGTTTGCCTATAATTTATAAAATTTTTATTTTATACACTTTAATAACATAACTTTAATAACATAATTTTAAAAATTTTATAGTAAAAAAGTGTCATTAAATATAAAAACATCAATTTATACAAATATTTTGATCTTTACAGTCAAGTTTGAAAACTATAAATTTTAAAAATATTCAGAGGAAACAAAGCTAAATAGTACCTCTTTAGGGTAAGTTAAAAAATAAATAAATGTATGAAAAAGTTTATTTTTAGGCTCATGATTTTAAGATTGACCCTTCCCCCTCACTATTTATCTATAGAACGTTTCTTTTTTTTTTTTTCTTTAAGAAATTTTTAGATATAGAGGACGATTTTTTCGAAATTGACTATTGTGCCCCTCCACTTTGAAACCCGTGTCGTTGGCCCTGTAAACACCATCTTTTTAAGCAAGTAACGCTTTTTTTTGTGAGTGCAAAATGCAACAAAGCAAAAAGAAAAAAAATTAGTTAATAATACCATTTTTAAAATGAAAAGACAAATAGACTTAGCTAGGTCTAGATAGACTTTGCTAGATCTAGATAGGGGTAGGTAGGCTTTTAAAAACAAGATTTATAATAGGTTTTAAAATAATCTAGGTTAAAATGCCGCGAAATTTAATTGATTTTAATTTTAAGCCAATGCTTAAATAAAAAATGTGAACAAAATTAAAATAAAACAGCCCTACGGGCATTTGTTTTTCAAAGTTACGTGCTAAATGTCTTTTAAACGTTTTTAAAACAACTTTTAAACGTTCCTTACGTAAGAATATTTAGAAGACGTTTAAAAATCATTTAAAATATATTTAGAACGTAACTTTCAGAAACAAATGCCCGCTGGGAGGCATAACAATTAAACTATGGTACTAAAAAGTACAATAAGTCCACAAGTACTATTTTGTTTAGTACCACAAGTACTATTTTCCCCACCACCATAGTAACGAATTACCCGACTTTGACTAAAAATAGTTCTTTAGTGCATTAATCGGCAAAATTAACCGTTTTATTAATTATTACACACATCTTATCTACTGGCTTTTATTTTATTGTATTTCCGCCAATTTTAACTAATCAGAAAAAAAGTACAATAAAAATGGTACGAATGGAACAACTCAGGGTACAGCTGTGCAATTCTATAAGTGCAATTCTATAACACAACTCAGGGTACAGCTGTGCAATTCTATAATGTACAGCAAAAGTGTTTCATATTAACGTTGTTTTTTTGTGCCATATATTTTTTTCAAAGCTTTTCAACTTACCTTGACTTGACGAGGTGACGCATTAGTTACTTTTTAAAGAGAATTGTAAGACTTAGGAAAAAACGAGTTATAATCCGATAAATTGGTAAAGTATGAACCCGTAAATGATGGCAAATGAAAAAATGTCTAAGCATCTAAAAGAAAAATAACTTTAAATAATTTTTTGCTTTTTTAATATAAAATAGAAAAGTACTCGTGCATCTTAATTGACTGCCTTCCAATATTTTTTTGTTGCGTATTATGTTACAATTCTAGTTCCCTAATTTTCGTTTACCCTTTTAAACTATTCACTTAAGCTTAAACCTAATTTCAGCAAAAAGTATTTAAAGCGGAATGACGTAAAAACAGATCATAATAAAAACTAAAAAAAATGTCATATTTTGTTTAATTCAATCAAAAATTAATAAAAAAATAATTAATAACCTATGAGACTATTTCCTCAACTACTCAGGTCTTTAATTAATTAAATGATTATCTACGGACTTACATCCTCTGTAAATTTCTATTTCTATAAATAAACACCATTTCTTTGTATTATCATAGTAAAACTAATCTCATCTCTTGTAAGCTAACATAGTAATTTTAAAACTTTTAGTATCAAACAAAATGGCAAACCGACTAAAGCAAACAAGATATTGAAACTGAGAATTTGTTGATTCATTTAGTTTAATGCTTTAGTGATTGAAATTGTGATTTTACACGAGCCGATATAATTTCATTGTTTAAAACTATTTGAAAAACATAAAACAAGAGCATTTAAGCAAAAACCTTGACCACAATATTGGCATGATTTTAAAAGGAGATCGAAACATGAACTAGCATTACGCAAAGTGGACATTGCATCAAACATATTGCAATTCAGATTTCAATTGAAAACTATTTTTTGAAAAATAGTCAATTAAAAATACAGCAGCTTGAAAATAACTGATATAATTTGACAAATTAATCCATGTTCACTTAATATCTTTTCTTTTTTATTCAGTTTCAAAAGAGTTAGGGTTCACCTGAATCGAGTTAAAAAGAAACATTAAAATGAAGATGCATATTAAAAAAAAACTCGTAAAATAATCTGTACATCAAAAAACGCAAAAATCTTAGATGAAATAACTCTTGTTGAAGGTTTTTCAATCATTTACCCGTTAGAGCAAAAAGTTATCATTTAGCTTTATTGAGATTTTTTGTTAATCTCTAAAATATCAATGGAGTTATACTTGGCAGTCCACTGCTTTAAAATAAATAACCTTGATAAATAAATTTTTCTTATAAATTCACAGGTTCACTTTTAATTCAATTCAGGGATATTAAAACCTTTCCCTAAGTTTTCTAAATTCACTACACTTTTTTTTAAACCTTATATTACTTGTTCTTATTGTGGATTGATGAACGTTTCAATAGCCATTGCATACTGTGACATGCATATAGAAACATTTAGATTTTTTATGACCGATATATAATTTATACTAGCCATTTTATGTTACGATGATATATTATGCAGTGACGTATCCAGGATTTTTTGGTGTTTTGAGTTAATTTCCAGAAATGGAGCAAACTCAAAAAGTTGCGATGATTGGAGGCTGGGAACAAAAAAACCCATAAATTTCATCACCCTTTCTTACCACCCCAAACGCGAGGGGCAAAAAGTTGATAAAATATTTTATGTACTGTTCTTAACTAGACTTATATTTATTGATAAATTTTAAGTCTAATAGTATTATCTCTCAGCGTTCAAAAATTATGACGATTTAAATTTGCATCCCCCTCAATTTGAGGAGGGTTTAAACTCGCCAAAAAATGCTGGATCCATCAATGCTGTTATAAGATTATATGTGTTACATATTTTATTCAATTAATGATATTTTTAAGCTTTTTTTTATGTTTTAATTATATATTTGTGCTTTTTTATGCTCATAATATTCTGTGCTATGTTTCTTTTTGCGTGAGCCAAATTATACATGTAATGTGTATTTATCGTATGCTTTATATAAATATAATATAAATGATAGAGCAAAAAAAAAAATTATTATGAAAATACTTATAAATTTGATGAGAACAATGCTCCACCACCAAAGTTTTTAAATGTATATTTATAAACTCCATATAAATATTTATAAATTCTATTCTATACTTTAATTTTATACTTTTTAAATGGTTACTAAATTTTTTATCAAAATCATTAAACCATTATTTTAAATTGTAAAACGTTAATATGTACGAATGTTTTAATTTAAAAATAAATACTTACACTTTTTAAAGTTGTCCATTTTTGCTTTAAATGTAAAATAAATACTTTTTTAACTGTTTATAATTGAACTCTAATCAAGATTTTTTTAGACCTAAACCTTTCAAACTTAATTGAAACCTCTTGGCCAATAATTAAAAAATGGATTAACTCTGAAATAAAAAAATATTTAAATAAATTTGTATAAAAAAACAAAGTTTCGGTTTTCGCTAACTCTCGCTCAAATATCAGTTTTGGTTAAAAATAAAAAGTAATTTCATCTTAGTTCCGGCTAAAAATTTATTTTAGTTTTTTAATCACATAAAACGCGTTTAGAAAAACGAAACTTTTTTGAAACTACCCAACACTTTTTTTAAACTACCCAGCACTTTTTTGAAACTACCCAACACTTTTTTGAAACTACCCAACACTTTTTTGAAACTACCCAACACTGAGCCAAATTTTTTTTTTTAAGTTTTGATACTTTAGTCTCACATCAACATTTTTTTTTCTGAGAAATAAATGAAAAATAAAATAATAATAATAAAAGCTTTTTTAGATGTTACTTTAATGTATCTTAATTATGCAATCAACAATCAGATGCCTAAAACTCTAAATCTAAAAATACTTTTGCAAATTTTAGTACTTTTTCTTTCAGTATGATGATGGCCATCCCAATAAGATCTCTCAGGAGGGTGGGAGTTTAATGTGGTTTGTGTTTTTTGCCAACTAGAAACACACACGCACTCACAAAAAAAGATCTCGATATTTGACATTTGCTATCTATACCTCAAAACTTATCAGCTCAAATGCTTAATGTAAAAATGTGCCAACTCAAATGCATATATAACAGTTTTGAGGGTGGTGGGGTTAGGGTGAGGGTAAGACACCCCTACACCCCCGTTCGGGACAGCCTTGAGTATGTTAGCATCGCTTGGTACATGTTGAACCTATTTTGAAAACAACCACATTAATATGGCCATGTCTATACATACAAAACAAAGATTTTCTGTGTAGTTTATCTGCTATTTTTTCAGCAAGGTCTTAAACCAAGTTGGTATTGCATTCTTTGGGAAACCTTACTTACGGACTGCTTCTTTGTTTGACACCCGCTAAGAGATATCCCTTAGGTGTTTAAACGATTTGCATTTTTAATTATAGGTTCATTTATATATTTTTGTTTCAAAGGTGTTTGAGAGAAGAAGTTCTTTTATTCAAAGAAGTATTTTTAAATTCAAAAAATAGAAAAAAAAAAAATTATCAAAACATTTATTAAAAAAAACTGTTGTAAAAAAAACAACATAACGAAGAAAATTAGTTTGAATTAACAAAAAAATAACAACTGAAAATGCGGGGACCGAATATGTAAGATATTAAGTATTGTATTTTAACTAATATATGTTATATATTTTATATTGTTGTCTCTAACAATCTCGAATACTTTGTAGCTAGTACCGCCAAAGGAACTGTATACCTTAATCCTTGGGCAATACGAGAGAGACAACTATAATAGTTGACTCTAAATATGTGAATCTGAAAGTTAAATACTGTTCCAGGTATTGGAATCGAGTTAGAAAACTTGTCAATCTTAAATAATCATTAATGAATGTGCTGAACAGTGGGGTGCGACTCGGCAAAATTTGCATTAAACTCTTGTAATTGCTGACGCAAAGGCTTCTGGGATGTGTAGTACAGCCAGATTGTAAACATAAACAACGAAATACAAATTAAAAAATACAATATATACTTTTCTATCGCATGATACAGCTGATTTTTATATACTTTTTCTTTCAATTATTTTAAGTTGACAAACTATAGTATAGAATACTAAACCATGTCTGCTGGATTTTGCGCAGCTCCTAATTGTCATCATAAACGAGGAAAAAATGTTGATAAAAGTGTGTCGTTTTTTCGCTTTCCAAAAGATTAAAATAGGTTAGTATCTATTTTATTTTTAATATATATATATATATATATATATATATATATATATATATATATATATATATATATATATATATATATATATATATATATATATGTATATATATATATATATATATATATACATATATATATGTATATATATATATATATATATATATATATATATATATATATATATGTATACATATATACATATATATATGTATATATATGTATATATATATATATATATAATATATATATATATATATATATATATATATATATATATATATATATATATATATATATATAATTTTTATTTCAGATGTAAGCAGTGGGTTATCAATTGCCGTCGCAAAGATCTCGACAAGAAAACTTCATTAGAACTAAATAAATCATACGCTCTATGCAGTAAACATTTTGAGCCAACAAAGTATTATCCAACAAATATTGGAGGCAAAAGAGCAATTTTAACAGCCATTCCGACCCTTTTTGATGTACCAAATCCTCCTCACAAAATTTCTATTAAAAGAAAAGCACCTTCAGAAAGATTTCTTCCTCATTCACACAAAAAAAGTAAATCAATTTCTAATGAACAGTCTGTAAAGTTAGCAGTTGTTTCTAGTACAGACACTACCAACTCAGAAGATTTAAATATAAATGATAAAGCTAAAAAACAGATGTTAAATTTTCAAAAAGTAATTAACTTAAATCGTGTTAAAAATTATCGTTTAAACAAAAAACTATTGTTTTTAAAAACACAAAATAAAAAATGCAATGGATCTATTGAACATATTTGGGATCTTGCAAAGAAATACCTTTCTGAAAACCAGATTAAATTTTTTGAGAGTCAACTTAGAATGAACAAGCGAACAAAACATGGAAAAAGGTGGACAATACATGACAAACTAGTTTCTCTACGCATCTTGTATCATAGTCCACAGGCATTTCGTATTTTGAGGCAAATTTTTACTTTGCCAAGTAAGACAACTCTTCTTATTTTTTTGTCAAAAGCATTTGGAAACCTACAGCCTGGATTTTCTGCAAAAGTTTTTGCTTTACTCAAAATGCGAGTCAATTATATGAATGTCAATAAACGCAACTGTTGCCTTGTATTTGACGAGATGTCTCTCAAACAGCATGTAGACTATGAAAAGTTACTAGGGTTCCTTAACACAAGACCATACATATCACCTTCCTCAATTCAAACAAATGTATACATAATATTTGACCCTCCACACTTGATAAAAAGTCTTCGAAATAATTTAATTAGACATGATATATCTACAAATGGAAAAACTGTATCATGGAAATACTTGCAGTCTTTTTACAATATAGACAAGCAAAATCCAGTTCGACTTGCTCCAAAGTTGACAGACAGCCACCTTGAACCTGGATCTTTACTATCTATGAGAGTAAAATTGGCAACACAAGTTTTTAGTCACCAAGTTTCAGCAGCTATGTCCTTATGTATAATCGCAAAGCTTTTACCACCTGATGCTTTGGCAACATGTAAATTCATTAAAAAAGTTGACACTCTTTTTGATATAATGAACTCTAGAAAATTAAAAGCAGACAAACCAGCTAGGTGTGCATTAACTGAAGGAGAGACTATGAAAACCTTGGAAGATATTAAGAATTGGATTTCTACATGGCATTATGAAAATGCTAGAAGTCAGACTAGTATTTCCAGTCACTGGGGACTTATAACAACAATAAACAATATTATGACATTGTCCAGAGAGTTGCTTGGTGAAGGTTTTCATTTTGTTTGCACATCACATTTCAATCAGGACTGTATAGAGAATTTTTTTTCGATTATAAGAAGTAAAGGTGGTTGGAATGACAGGCCAACAGCCAAACAATTTAAGTCTGCATACCAAAATGCTTTACTACTTACTTCTGTTGAACAAACTAAGTCTAATACAAATTGTGTTTCAGAATCTGATTTTACTGCAGCAATATCGTTAGACTTATGCCTTAATTTAGTAAATGAACAAAGTAATGTAGCAAATAACTCATTATTCAATGAACAAAACTCAACTCACATAGGTAATGTAAACTCTTTATGTCAATTATGCACAAATATTTTATCTCAACCATCTGCTGAAATCTGTGGTAATTTTGATGAATTTGTTTATACTAAGAAATATGAAACAAAAAATCATTCAATAGAACCAAGTTCTTGTTTACGCGAAGTTGTAAGAGTAATGGAAGCCATTTTCACTAACAACATTAATAAAATAATTGTATGCAAAAATATAGCAGGAACTATCATTAAAGCTATCAAGAAAGACTGCAATTTCGTTTTTTTATACAACCTCCACCCAAAACATGAATCGCATTTGGAGAGAAAACTGATACACTATTTTGTTGATATTCGAATTTATTATTTCATCAAATTTTACAATCGTGACATAGCTCCACGTTATAAAAAATGCCTTAAAAAATGGCTCGTATTACTCATAAATAGTAAAAGATTATATTTAGTTAAAAAATGTGTATTTATTTATAATGTACTAAATTGAAATTATAAATTCTAATATCCTTTAATTTTTTTATATTATATATAAGATTAGGATAATAAAAATAGCAAAAACATATATAAAAGTATAAAAAAACAATATTGAAAAAATATCAAAACTAGAAGGAACGTTTGAGTTGTTTTATACTAACAGAGCTCAATAAACAATTCATACAGCAGTTGTATAATTTTAGGCTACTAAATAAAATGTCTAAATATTGAAACATTTACAAAACTATAATATAGCCTTATTGTAGGGTTGTTAAAAATTTTTCTTATGTTTAGTTGAAACCCTGATTGCTGTCTACCATACAGTTATATTATAAACCTTCTAGCATACTGCAGAGGGTAGTTAAGAATTGAAACGTACATATATTGAAAAAAAAAACAAGTTTATATAACTAATACGTTTACTTCGTTAGACAATGTAACATTTGTAACAATGTTACATTGTTCAAATGATTGTTACAATAATTTTTACATTGTTAGTAAACAGTGTAGCAATATACAATTTTAAAAAAGCTGTAATATATAAGTTTAAAATAGTATGACATTTAATTTATGGCATTTAATGTTTGTATTTTTGTTATATTTTGAACATTAAAAATAAAATTGAATGTTATTTTTTATTGTTCAAAATATAACAAAAATACAAGCTTTAAATGCTATAAAAAGTTTTATACTAACATATTCCTGCGTTTTCAAAATAAACCATTTAGTTTACAAGTAAAAAAAGATTGATGCTACATCTTATTAAAACATTATTGTTTAAAAATAAGTTAAACCATCTTTACAAAAGCATTATTCTGTCAAAACGTATTTACATACGTATTGTTGTTTACAAATCTGGCTGTACTAGACATCCCAGAATCCCCGTTCGCCGAATTACAAGAAATCGAGCGAGTCGTACACCACTGGTGCTGAATAACATATTCATAGACTTGACGTAATATCCGCAAAAATATGGCACAAATGCGCCAGTATTTGGCCTACAATAGAAACAAAAAACGACGTAAATAGATATTGCCGCCTTATTATGATGTTATAAGATTCTTATGGTACATTTTAAAGGATTAATGTTAATCAAAAATCTAATGCATAAAATATAAATTACCATAATCTTATCAAGATTTATTAGGCAAAAAAAAAAACATAGCCCTTGCTGTAAATAAATTTAAAAATATGGGCCTTACAAGTTGGTTTATTAAAATTTTTCACGCTAACATTAGTTTCTTAGTTTAATCAAGTTACCTTATTAATTAATTATTTTTTTTTTTACTTATGTGTTTTTTTTTTCTTTTTTTTTTAGTTGTTTACTTAAATTAATAAACACCAATAAAAGTTTTTTTTATTCAAGTCTGATTTTCCGAAAAATTAATATAAGTTTAAACCATTTTCAAAATTGTTTTTAGAAAAAAGAATGTCAACACTTAAAATAACTTCTCAAATAACCATTAAAGTATAACATTTAATAAAAAGTTATATGAAAAAATGTTTTTAAATATGTAGAATTTTCAAAAGTTTCAGCTAATTTACGTTATCCAATATGAACATTCACCTGAATTCAAAGTTTGTTCTCCTTAATCCAAAGCTAGTTTTTGAAGTTTATAAGTATATATATATATATATATATATATATATATATATATATATATATATATATATATATATATATATATATATATATATATTTATATATAAATATATATATATATATAAATATATATATATATATTTATGTTGTTTATGTATATATATATATTTATGTTGTTTATGTATATATTTATGTATATATATATAATATATATATATATATATATATATATATATATATATATATATATATATATATATATATATATATATATATATATATATATATATATATATATATATGTATATATATATATGTATATATATATATATATATACATAAATGTATATATATATATATATATATATATATATATATATATATATATATATATATATATATATATATATATATATATATATATATATATATATATATATATATTTATGTATATATAACACATTTATACATACATAGATATGTAGATAGATACATACAAACATACATACATGCACAGTATGTATGTATATTATACATACATACAGTGTATCTATGTGTATTTGTATATATATATATATACATATATATATATATATATATATATATATATATATATATATATATATATATATATATATATATATATATAAATATAAATATATATATATATATATATATATATATATATATATATATATATATATATATATATATATATATATATATATATATATATATATATATATATATATATATATATATATATATATATATATATATATAATGTTTTATTTATAAAACATTATAAAATAAATGCAATATAAAAATTATTATTTTTAATTATGTGTATATAAGTCTGAATTATTTGTGTCAACTTTAAAAAAAGTTTTTTTTTTTGCGAACTAGATGCAAGAATCAAATAGATAGCTAATGTTATATTTTACATAAACTTTCTCAAGAATGCAAGGTTCAACCATTGGGCCTGGCTTGTCAATAAAAGTTCATTTGAGTTTGACAATATTTTTCACTGTGCTTTATGGATTGGTATTTTTTTTAATTATTACCCAGTTATTGCAGATACTATATTATAAGCATCGTCGCTTATCTTACCAGACGTTTTTTTTGTTTACTTGTTTAATCTGGGCTGGTTTGCGCACAACTTTATTTTCATTCTACTTTGAAGATTTTGTCCAATCAAATACACTAAGCCCACTTTTTGAATGGTTGTTGTTTGCACTGCCTATTTACCTACAGTATAACATGTTAAGCATTTTAGTTTTCTATTTTTTACTGGTGAGTTAATATATAATTTTTAATATGATAATTAAAATTTTTGATAAAATTATTATATTGTTATATAAAAATGACTACTTGAATGTATATTATATTATAATAAATTTTCAATATAACATATATACCTGGCTATCTGGATTGTTAGACATTATTGACTTCTTAATTTTTTCTAAATTGATTACTATAAATGTTAATAATAAAAAGATTTTCAAAATAGTTTTTTTTTTAATTTTCAAATGGAATAAATCAAAAACAATGAATTTAGTTACAGTTTAATCTTTTGTTAAGTAACTTTATTTGGTTATACTTCTACATTTTTTTTTCTCAAACTCTAGTCTGTACTCCTCGTTCTCCATACAGTTAATGCTTTATGCTTTAATTTTGTTTTTAAATCTGGTTTTGTTGATCGTTGAATCATTCATTATAGGCATATTTCTTAACAATGATAAATTTCTTATAATCTTTTGCTCAAAATTTATTGATTTTCTAAGGATACAGTAGATCATGTTAAAATAGCTTTATATACAAATAAAAAATTTTGGTACAACTTACCTTGGTACAACTTACCTTTGGTACAACTTACCTTGGTACAAATTTTGGTACACATTACCTTAGGAGTTGTCCATAAATTATGTCATTCAAACTTTAACAGTTTTGGACCTCTCCTCTTTTTAGTAATAATTTGTCAAACTTTAAGAAACTTTCTCTTAATTCTTTATCGCTTTCCTACTTCTTAAAACTGTTCTCTTTTAGATGTATTCTGATCAAATTGACCATGCCCTTTCTCTTTACCCTCTGTCATTATTATTGTTGTTATTGGTGACTTTAATGCACATCACATGGTTTGGCTCTAGCACCACTAAATGACTTGGTTCTAGCACCACTGACTTTGCTGGTACTTAAACCCATAACTTCTGCATTCTACAATATCTTATTCAGATAGTTAACTTTGTGACACATTTTCTAGACAACCCTAGTCACATACCTACCTTACTTAAAATGGTTATAGCTAATATATAGGGTAACACACATTATATTAAACAAAAAAGTCACAATTCTTATACTTTTTTTTAAAAGTTTTTAAAAAAAAGTTTTTTTTTTTTAAAAACTTTTAAAAAAGGAGTTGGAGGGGTCACAATTCTAATTCTGACCCCTCCAACTCCAATTATCAAATTTTTTTTCTATCTGTTATGAGCAAAGTGTTTGAGTCTTAGATCAACAGATTTCTAACATGCCATCTTGAGTCAAATAATTTACTGTCAAACGATCAATATGGTTTTCATTTCTCTTGCTCTATGGCTGATTTGCTTACTGCTGTGACTAAAATATTTTATTGTGCATTAAATGGAGGTAGTGAGGCTAAGCCTATTGCTCTTGACATATCTAAAGCTTTTGACAAAGTTTGCCATGCTGGTCTTCTCTAAAAGCTTACTTAATATGGTATATCTGGAAAAGTTTTTGAGATTATCAAATCATTTCTTTCTAACCATTAAAATCATCTTCAAAGACTCAAAAAACTCTTCTTCTTTTCCAGTAACTTCTGGGGTACCTCAATGTTCTATCCTTAGTCCTGTTTTGTCTCTTATCTCAGGCCTTGTTAAGAAACGTTTTGCTGCTTGCATTTTATGTGCAAAAAGACAATATGCCTACATGTTCAGCAGTTTTACGTTATGCGAAAACTTATGTCTTTTCAAATATTTAAATTATCTTTTGATGTCGTTTATGTAATGTTTTATTCAGAAGATATTTGTTCGTAAAAAAAGCATTTAACCGCAATTGTGAACTAATTTATTTTTAGTTAGAAAAAAAAAGTTTGTTAAATAATTTTTTTTTTAATTAAAAGTGAGTTCAAGAAAATAAAGTGTTTTAAGTTTAAACTTTTTATTTAATCAAAAAGATACTTATGAAAAACTTGAATTATTTAATTTAATCATAAGTACTTTTTTGGTTAAAGTTTTGCTTGATAATCGATTGGCATAACCCAGGGCCAAATTTACAGGTAGTATGAGAAGGGGGTTGTCACCCTTCCCGCAACCCCCTATCCTCCTTAAGAAGAGGGAAGAATTAACATTAGACTTTACAAATTATGAAATAAATTACTTTTTACTTTCAAAGTTGCTTTTTCTAAGTTTTTCCATTATCAATAATTTTTTTAGATTGATCATAGAAGGAATGTTGATTAGAAATGTTGAACAAGTTTATGAGTAGTAGACAAATATTTTACCAAAGTCAAGTTCTTTAAAAAAAAATTGTTGATAATTTTTTTGCTTTGCTTAAAGTGATCCCCAACTGCCGAGGCAAGTTGTGTTCATATTAAAGAAAATGTTTAAAAAAAACATTAGGGCCAAATTTTTTTGATTAAAACTAAATAATGAATGTATACCAACAAATTAAAACTATTGTTTTAGTCGAAGCTCGTCTTCTCCATTTTTTTTTTTGGTTCTCGGGGTCTGTATAATGTTAGCCGCAATCTGCAGACTTTCATGCGTGTTAATTTATAACAGTTTCGGTAAATGACATCATTACAATATCTTTTTAAGATTTCAGAAAACCAAATACTTGTATAATTTTTTACTAAATCACAAAAAATATTTGTGATTTAATAAGAAATTATACAAATATATATATATATATATATATATATATATATATATATATATATATATATATATATATATATATATATATATATATATATATATATATATATATATTTATAATTTTTTTACTTGTTTTATTGTTACTTTGTTGTAGAAGCCAGCCAAAATCATGACACAATTATACATATTTTGTGATTATTAGAGTTTTTAGGCAGAGAAAAAGTAAAGGCAGTATGATGCGTTTTTTTTTGTTTTATATTTAGTTCATATGGTTCAATAGAGTTGTTCGTTTTATGTTTAATTTACATTTAGTTATGGTTTAATTCTTTCACTACTGCAAGCCACTGGTAGCGGCTTTTGAGTATGCTTTACAATTTATTTTGTTTTGTACATAAATTTTCATTGTAGACACATGAAATTTGTTTGTTCTGAAGGTTTAATTAATTCTCTACATAATCAAGAAAAAATAAGAGCTATATTGTGTAATTATAAAAAAGTTATCACAAAGTTAAAGAATCTTGAATAATCCTTCATAAAAAACTTTAAATTTAGTTATAAAATAAAACAGGGTTAACACTGTAAAACTTAACTTGTAGAAGTGTTAAGTATTTAGTTAAGTAATTGCCAAAGTATTTTGAAGAAAAATTATTATTTTTATTCATTAAATGAGGTTTGTTTTGGACTTAATGTTTTAGTTACTACTTACAAAAACAATAGTTTTAAGCACTTTGCATTTTTTATTGTTTAATGATGCGTGTTAAAAACGCCATTATTATCAAAAATTTTATTAATTGTCTATTCAAATGTTATTCAAAAAAATATGCATTTGCTATAAAAAGATTTTTGTTTAGCTGGTAGCGATTTAAGGTAGTAATTTAATGTGATTCTTTGTTTTTATATTTATTTTATAATTATTTCTTGTATATTTTAGTACAAATATTTGCTTTAATTTAGTTTGATTTGAATGGTTATTACTAAAAAAAGTCGTTTAATATTTATTTTCTACTTAGTTCAGTTTATATGTTTTATTTAAGTCACTCGTTTTTTTTTCAGTTTATACTTTAAATTAATTTATACGCTTTTGTAAAATTATTCTTATAGTATCTAGTTTATATTTAGTTTAAACTACTATGTTTACTGTAAATATTCGTTATATATTGAATTTTTGTTTTTATAAATTTTATAAATTTAATTTTTAATTGCATCATAAACTTTTATTTGGGATTTAGTAAAAAGTTATACAATTAACATGATTTGGTGATTTTGGCAAAAAAATAATACAACATCTTGAAAGAAAAAGTTTATACAATGATGACAATAAAAATTTATACAAAAAGTAAAAAATGATATTATTTAGCATAATTAAGTTTTTCTTGTTTCTCAAAATGTTTTCCCTGTAATCACGATGATTTTATGGATCTTTCTTTGGTAACAGGAACTGTCACATTGCTCACAACTTAAATGTTACTTATTTAATAACTATTGAATAAAAAAATTTTATGCGGGCCTCATTTGGAAAAAAATTAAAGACACATGTGGCTACAATAATTATAATTTAAAGTAAAATAATTATACACTTAGTAAGTTTGGCTATCATTTAATGCGTCTTAAATTTGTTTCTAGACTAGAATTGTTTAAAAAAAAAGATAACGGCAACTTGTTTTTAATAAAGCGAAATAAACTTCTAGCTTATGATAGTTATTTGTTATTTACTTATGACATTTTCTTTATAAGGGGTTTTATGTTTACTATGGCTTTAAATAAATCAAATATTCAATCTTTCTATACTTTTTTTAAATTTATTAAATTATCATTATTTATCAAATGGATAACATTTTGAATAAAAACAGAATCACTTTGAAAACTTTTAAAAATAGAATTTTTCAGAAATTTTTTGTACGCAAACTACTAGAGAGAATGGAATTACGTATGTTGTAAAAATCTTCTATAATGTATCAAGATAATATTTTGGCCAATACCATAGGAGCAATAAGAACATCTGCATTACTTTATATAAATGGGACACGCGACATTAAAAAAGATGTCATTTCTCAGCATTTACAAAGTACTGTCCACAGAAATGAGATCCAATTTTCAAATGACCTAAAGGAAAATAAAGAAGCAAAAGCAAATGACAAAGACCAACAAGTTAATAGTCAGCATAAAATAACCAATTCTAAACTGTAATAAAGCAAATGATAGATTTCTAAAACGTTTTAAGAAAAAAAAAAAAATCTATTTCAAATATGAGTTTAGACTTTATTTGTAACTTTTGTTTTAGTTAAACTGTAAAAGTTAAATAATAGAAAGAAAAAATTGTTTTAATAATTTTTAACACGGTTTAAAAATAAGAATGCAGTACTTAAAATTACTCTAGTGATGCAATTTAACTTTTAACGA